GTTTCCTTTTCTGAGAACTATGTTAATAGATATTTTAAAGACAGACTACACCAGAGACTACATACATATGTCACAAATAGTAAGTTATGTTCAGAGTGAATCAAGTGCTGCTATCAGTTGATTTCACAGATTACTATTTAACATCAGTGATACAGCATCAATCTGCCACAGATCAGATGCTGGAAAGAAGTTATCAGCTTGAATGTGTCTGGCTTCTTGTATTGAAATGAAAGGCAAGGAATGGCCAACCAATAACTGGCCCAACTTGAGATGCATCCCCTGGGCAAGCACCAATCCCTAGAAGTATTAGTAATACTCTATTATTCTTGCAGACAGAAGCATGTTGTCTCTGAGAGGCTCCACCTATCAGGTTACTCAGAAAGATGCAGATACCGACAGCCAAACAGTGGATGGAGATTGGGGACTCTTTTGGAAGAATAGGAAGAATTGTGGGCTCTGAAGAGGATTGGAAATATACAGGAAGACCAACAGAATTAACTAACCTGAACCCTTGGGGCTCTCAGAGTCTGAACCACCAACCAAAGAATATATATGGGCTGGACCTAGGCCTCCCCACACATATGTAGCAGATGTGCAGCTTGACCTTCTGAACAACTGGAATAGGGGCTATCCCAAAAGCTGTTGCCTGTCTGTGGGATATGTTCTTCTAGCTGGACTGCTTTATCTGGTCTCAGTGGGAGAGGAAGCACCTAGGGTATTAAAGACTTGAAGTGTCAGGGTGGAGGGATACCCAGGGGGGCCCCTACCTACTCAGAGAAAAAGAGGAGGGAGGATAGGGAAAGGATTGTGGGAGGGGATGAGCAAGAGGAGAGCAGTGAGTGGGATGTAAAGCAGATAAGTAAGAATGAATGAATGAATGAATGAATGAATGAATGAATGAATAATCTGATTAAAGATTGTATGGCACAGAAACCTTATAACAAAAGTGAAGAGAATCTATAATTTTCATACACTTCCCTCATCAATAGTGCCTTTACAAAGTGATAGTTAGGAAATGAACATTGTAACCTCAACATACCATGAATTCTGTTTAAACAACATGAGACTTATAAAGGCTGTCTATATAATCAACAGCATGTAAGTGAAAGGAGTATGTGTCAAGCCTTTAGTTCTTAAATGTATTCATGGCAGAGGCATATTTTCACTCTGTGCTGTTCTCATCAATAAGAAAGAAGAATCAAAGCAGGTCAAGAGTTCCACACTTCATACTCAACAATTCTGGAATCCAGTCATTGGATAAATTAGTGCAAGACTCAACAGAGAACACTGGGAAGTTTCTTCAGGACTCATCTGCCTCCTAGAATTGATCTGCCTTCAAGCAGTCCCCTTGAGGCAGCCCCTCCAGCTTGCCAATCACACAGCATTCTGATTGTTCCATTTCCCTAGTACTCTCCAATTCCTTCCTATTCTTCTGTCTTCTTGGTCTCGGAAAGGCCTACTTCTTAATATGCCCCTCTGTCATAGTCTTGTAGAATTTTCACCTTTCTCAGTGCTTGACTGTCTTCTTGATGTTCAATGTCATGCTGCTACTCCACCCCTCCTACTTATTTCCCAGGAATTTGCAGTCTCTCAATACCATATAGTCTCCTAGTACTTTCCTGCATTGTAGTAGTCCCCAAGTTTTATGGTTTCTAGTCCTCTAGCATTCCCCAGTCTCCTAGTCCTTAGGTATCCTCAGGTTATTCTTCTAGTATTGTCATGCTGGTGGTGAAATTGTGTGCATGCTAGCGCTCCCTATTGTCTTAGTGTAGCCATGTCTCCTAATACTGATTTGATAGTCTCCTAGGACCTGCCTGTATCCTCCTAGTGCTGCCCAGTATGCCAGAGCTCCCGTCTCTCACTGCTCCAGAATCTCTTAATATGGCCCAGTCTTCTACTTCTCCTCACTCCCCTAGTGTTCCCAATCACTAATACTTGTAGTGGCTAGTGAACTTCATCTCTTACTATTTCCTACTTATTCTGTAAGCGTTGCAAATACTGTTAGCTCCCTCATGCCTCTGTACACTCCACTCTCCAAGTTCTTGTCTCCAACCTATCCCTAGATCCCTAGTGTTTCCTAGTTTCCCAGGATATTCAGTCTCCTAGAATACCTCAGTAAACAAGCACTCTCCATATTCTAGCATTTGCCCAACTCCCAGAGATCTGCATGTAGTCCATTGTCCCTGTTAACTGTCTAGGAGCATTCCCCTGCTCCCTAGTTTTGCCAGAACTTTGTATTGACTTCAGTCTGTAGTTTCAGAAGAGCTCACCACTACCTAAGACTTTTTGTAGTACCTGACCCCTCAAAGTTCCAAATATATTCTTTTTTTCTATCACTCCAGCCTCTAATGAGCTTTCAGTCTACAGTATGTTTGGATGAAAGCTCTTGTAGAATCAAAGTTGTCCCTAGCCATCTTGTATTTTCTGTAATCTATGGTATCCCCTCTTCAAAGATTCCTCAGTATCCTGGTATTTCTCCTCTTTTAGTATTGCTGTCTCTAGTGATCCCATTTGATAGGGCTCCTCATGATCCTAGTATATCATAATCTCCTAGCATGAGGCAATCATCAGTCGTGGGACCATTACCTACAACTCTGCTGTCCCCGAGTGCACCAAATGTCCTAGTTCTGTCCTGACTCTGAGCACTCCTCTGTCTCCTAGCACTCGCCTGTCTTTCATCATTACCATGTAGCCCATCTCTCTTGGCCTATGAGTACTTCCATGTTTCTTAGAACTCTGTATGTGTTCTCATGTCTCCTAGCACTCCTCTGTCGCTGAGTACTACCTTGTGTCCTAGCACTCCTCTGTCTCTGAGTGCTCCCCTGTCTCCTAGTGCTCCTCTGTCTCTGAATGTTTTCCTGTCTCCTAGCAATACTCTGTATCTAGATGCTCCCTCAGTTTCAAGGAACTCCTCTGTCTCAGTGTTCTCCTGTCTCCTAGTACTCCTGTGTCTTTGAGTACTACCCTATTACCAAGCACGCATCTGTCTCTGAGTGCCCCCATGTCTCCTACCATTCCTTTGACTCTGAGCGCTCCCCTGTGTCATAGCATTCCTTTGTATCTGACTAAAACCCTGGCTCCTAGCACTCCTCTGTCTCTTAGTGCTCTGCCTGTCTCGGAGCACCCCTCTTTCTGAGTGATATCCTGTCTTCTAGCACCCCTCTGTCTCTGAGAGCTCCCCTGTCTGTTAGCACTACCCTGTCTCTGAGTATTACCCTATCCTCTGCCACTCTTTCTTCCCTGATGAGCCCCTGTCTCCTAGCTCCCCTTTGTCTCTGAGTGCTCCCCTGTCTCCTAGCACTCCTCTATCACCGAATGTTCCCCTGTCTTGAAGCTCACCTGTTAGTGCTCTCCTGTCTCCTAGCACCCCTCTGTTTCTGAGTGTCCCTTGTCACCTATTTCTCATCTCTCACTGTGTGCTCAGCTGTTTCCTATCACTCCTCTGTGTCTGAGTACTCCCATGTCTCCTAGTGCTCCTCTATCTCTGAGTGCTCCCCTATCTCCTAGCATTTCTCTGTCTCTGAGTGCTCCCCTGTCTCCTAGCACTCCTCTGTCTCTGAGTGTTCCCCTGTCTCCTAGCACTCCTCTGTCTTTGAGTGGCCCCCTGTCTTCTGGCACCCCCTTGTCTCAATACTCTACCATCCCCTAATACTCCGTATCTTCTACAGCTCCTGTTTCTCTTGCACTTTGCTCTCTCCTTGTTTTTATCTATTGAGTGGTGTTCTAGTTGGCCTGGCATTCCTTAGTATTCCACCATGCCAGTGTAATATTTCTTGGTTTCAGAACTTGTCAGTGTCCCACAGCATCCACCATTTGGTGGTGTTTCCTAGTACCCCTCAGTTTATAGCCCTACCCAATGTACAAGAGCTCCCTTAGGTAAGTGTTCATGCTTTCTACTATTGCCTATATCCTAGTGTTCGCAAGCTCCACAGTCTCATGATGCTCATTTGTTTTCTAGGACTCTAAAGTCTCCTCCTACTCCCTGGTCTCCTAGTACTTGCCTGTGTCTTAGTGCTCCCCAGTGTCCCAAGGCTTCCTCAGCTCCCAGCTACTCCTTGTTTTCATGCTTTCACTTATTTCATAGCATTCCCTATATGGTCACATTCAGTATCCTACAACTCCCTACTCACCCATCACTCTCCTTTCTTCAGCACTTTTCAGACTACCCAGGATTCCACAGATGACTTTTGTCTGCCTTTCCTGTGTCCTCATGACTTTTCTCCTCATATCACACCCCTGTATCCTGTTATTTCACTGTTTTGTAGGTACCTTTAGTCTCCCTTACTTTTAAACCCACAATTACAGGAGAATGAAGTCATTTAAAGCACTTCGTTCAATAAGTCACTATTGTCTGTAGGTAATCTGGTTTTTTGCTAAGCAACAGGAGCAATGGCCACATTCAGGACAACCCCAGCTGGAGCAAAATGAGATGTGGGGATGACAATGGCTTAGGAGTTGTATCTCTGGGCTGCTGTGAGGAATACTATTAGCAAAACAGCACCACAGTGAATTTGAGTTTGAAAAACTATGCCAAGATAAGGAGATAGATCAGAAAGAGTTTATTAGCTATGAACTCTCTATATATTTTAATTGGTAGAGGTAATTCTAGATTTCCTCTTCTGGTGACCCTATGTGAGCCTAGAATTGATACCAGGGTTTCTTCAGATGAGAGTTTCCAAGAGTAATCCTTTCAAGTATGCCACTAATCCTAGAATGTATATAAATCTTTGGTGTGGTAGAATCAAAGATACCCCAGGATAGCTGACTTATGAATGAATTAGTATTTGTCCAGAGAAATTAACACATACAGAAGATGTCCTTGACCATTATGGGCTGAGAGGCATCCTGCTAATGCTGAAGTGGTAAACTGTGAGCAATAATATAGGAGCCATTGACAGTAGGAGCAACTTAAGGCACTTACTCCAGTGACTGCATATCATAGCAAAGGGGCTTGTTTGTATTCTTATTTCATATATATCATAATGTCTCTTATTCCATATCAGCTATCCTTACTAATGGCTACCACACACCCTGATAATTCCTAACACCATGGTCATATGCCAAACATTTTATTCCTCTTAGAAAATGTCATTTCCTTTACAAAAGCTAGCAATCCTCTACCATTGCTCTCCTTTAAAAAAGACTACAGATAGCTTAAGTAGCCTTTGGTCACAACCACATAGCAGACTTCATTGGACAACTCACCTTGTGCTTACGCTTGCCCTTAGGGGCTGGTTTTTCCACAACCATGGCAGCAGTTTGACGCTTGGGTTTAGAGGCAGTCTCCTTGTGGTCTGTTTTTGCAGGTGCTGCTGGGACTGAATTTTGGCCAGGTACTCTAGAAAGTAAGTTGAGGTCAATCTTCACCCAGAGGTTTTTTGGATTTTCATGATCCCGTAGAGGGGACAAAAGCTCAGTTTGCATGGCAGGAGGTGGTGAAAAAACTGTGTCCTCATTGCTGGTGGATAAGGTGTTGTTGCTGTTGTTATTGGTGTTGCTGCTGGTCAAAGTACTAAGTGTCAGGCTGGCATTAGAAGTTTCCTTGGATTTAGAAGTATTACCTCCCAGAGCAATGCAAGGTGGCAGTACTTTGATCTGCAGGGTCTCTTCCTGGTCTGTGTTGGAGTCAGATGTAGATGAATCTGTTTCAATGAATTCTCGGGACTTGGGGGCAATCTTCCCAGGCCCTCTATACTTCTTCTTTTCAGTGGCCAGAGGAACATGAGGCCGTGGCTCTTTCCTAGGCACTGGTTTGTGGGCAGTAGCTTTGTTGCGGCTTCGTGGTGGCTCAGGAAGCTCCACGCTTTCTTTTTCTTTGGGAGTGCTGCTGGTAATATTTGGTTTGGGCCAGGTAAACTCCTCAAAGCTGGTATTTTTCTCAACTTTCTTGGGCTGCTTCTTTCCAATTGTCCTTTGAGAAACTGTGTCAACTGATGTTGACAACTTATGCTTCAAGGCCTTTGTTTCTGAGGTTTTCTGTGTGGGCCTTGGTCGAGCTTTCTCCCTGACAAAACTGAGGAGAGGCCTTTCTTTGGGTACAGCCACAGCATGGCTAGGGTTTGGTTTCACTTTGACCTGGACCTCCACTGGTTGTATTATTGGAGGAGGCAGAGAAATGGTCTCTGTGGGTGTCTCGTTTTGGCCACAAATAAATGACTTGTTCTGGGATGTGACTTTGTTCAGCCATTTGTCTAGCTGCCATTTGTTGGTTGAGGGTGGTTCAGGCTGTAGATTGAGAAACAGTAACAAGGATGCATTTCACACATGTAGAGATTTTATAAAGACTTTATAATGACTATACAGTGCTAAGAAATTATTAGACAATGCAGGCTAGGACTAGATTTAGTGGAATACTTGCCCACTATGCATGAAACCCTGGCTTCCACTCTCAGAACCACATGAACCAGGTGTGTTGTAGACATAGAATAGGATCAAATGTTCAAGGACAGTTTTAGTTACATAGCAAGTTTGAGTTTGAAGCTATTTTGGCTACATGAGACCTTGGAACCAACCAAACAAACAACAGTAAAAAACTCAGACTACCTTGGGCTTTAAGTGGCAGTCCACATACATAAACATATAAACATTCATTGAGAAATATACTTTTAGTGGAGATTAAAAGAATGATTTATTTTCCCCTGTATTTTACAAGATAAAAAGCATATAACTACAAATCAATCAAAGTTTACTTTTCAAACACTAGTTTCTATCAATCCTTCAAAAATATTCTCTCTTCTAGCTAGTAAGTAAAGGATTCTTCACAAAGAGATGCTTAAGACTATAACCAGGGGCTTCAGAGAGATAACTCTGTTCCCAAAGGCTTTTGCTAAGAATCATTGATCTATCTATCACCTGGAGCCAGAGGTTATGATATCTGTTCCTAAAAAGAGATCTAAGTGCATCTCAAGTGTGTACAGAAGGAAAAGATTTCCATCTTCAGAAATACTAGGGTTTACTATACAATGCTGTGATTCATTGAAAACACTACCACTTTTATGTTTTTACTGGAAAGTGAAATAAATAAAGTGATTCTCTCAAGCCACTATGCTTTCCTAAATATATGGGCCCTAATCAATTTATGGGGATGTGTATGTAGACTTTGGCATTCACTATGAAGCAATAGAAATGATATATCTAATTCACACGCTTGATATTCAACTCTGATTTCTACCAGTTAAAATAAAAAGCCATCATTTTTATTAGATGGGCTCTTTTTTTCCTGAAAGCCACCAAGTATGTGGCATGAGTAAATAGAGGATGGCAGAACTAAAAATGAATTAAGTAGCTGTGATCCCTGCTCACAAAAAACAATAGCAGGTAACTACTAAGGAAACTCTCAGCTGCTACTCTTAGCAGTGTAGTGCCAGAGTTAAAAGCTAGTTCTGGCAGTATACTGACCTGGGTTTAAGTCCTTACTTTATTACTGTATATCTGAGAGATCTTGGGGTAGTTTTGGCTTATATTCTCATAAACATACATTGCCACCTATAAAATGTCCTACCATGTAAGAGAATAGAGTATTGGGTTGTTAGTAAGAATGAATGAGAAAATGTAAGTCAAGTGTCCAGCACAGCATTTGCTATTTTTAACAGCAATAAAATGACTACTGCCTCTATTATTCCGTTCTGGTTATTGAGAAAGAAATGTATAAATAGCCATGAGATGAATTTCCTTGTTGTACCACATGCAGGCTCAGGGAACCAGAACACTTTAGCCAGAGGATGGAAAGGGGAAAATTAACTCTACTGTTTCAGAGTTATTGTTCTGGTGTTTGGGGGTGCTTGGCTAAACATTTCATAACTTATTATTATCTGGCACATGATGTAAATTGAAATAAAAAACATGTGACTTCTTGAGTCCTGTTTTACCATTACAGAAAGGCATATTTCTCAAGTCTTCCCTGCTTAGTATCCATTTGCCACTTTAATAACTTTAAAGTAAAGTAGGGATGGCATCTTCAGATCTACAAGTGAGTCTTGACTGGCTTTGTTGGTTCACTTAAAAAGCAACCTGCAAGGTTTATCATTTCTATACTAGTTTCATGTGAAATGAGGCTTGAGGCTCAGAGTAGCTTAGTGACTCCCATAAAAAATCTGTCATACAGCAAGCAACTTGTACAACTTAGAGTCACACAAAAGGGATCTATATATGTTATAGCATACACAAATATATGTTTAAAAGGAACAATCTTATCAAGTCTCTGGCTACTTTTCTGAAGTAACTACTGTACTAAAGTACTTTGACTGGTGATGCATCTGGCATGCACCTTATGCACCAGCACATTGATGGATTCTGAGGCCTTGACAACTCACCTCTGGAGTAGTCACTCTAGGAGCCTCATTGGATTCGCTGTCAGTGGTGCTGCTTTCAGTGTCTGAATCTGATTCCGAGCTACTCTCTGATTCACTGGAACTGCCAGATCCCACATTGGCTTGCGCTGCAGGTATAGGCTGTGGTGTGGCCAAGAGTGAGCTGAAAGAAAAATGACATCATTTATTACCTCATCGAGTCTCAGACTTGAAAGAAACAGCTAGGTTCAATATAAAGACTTATGATCTGTGAACTGCAGGAAGAATAGATTACAGGATCCTCACCTGACAGAAACAAAATATAAGGCTCCAGGAGCCCAGTATGAAGACCAATGTCAAAAGTTTGACTCGAAACAAGCACCTTGGCCCAGCACAGTTCCTTTTCACCCAGGAAACCCTTCCCTCCTTCATATTCCATGTGAAAACTTTCAACAGAGATTTCATACCTTACAAACACAGACTAAAATTTGAGACTCAGGTTTTATTATCCTATTATTTATTTCAGTTAATTTCTCATTCATTTTCTGTTGCTATTTTATAGACTTCCACCACAACTTCTTGGAGTATAGTCTAATGTAGTCATATTTCTAGGAACTGGTAACTTCAATTTTCCTTTTATTGGAGGAATCTGGGGCCTAGGGTCCAGAAGGGACTTGACTTCAGACCTGGTACCATGGTGCCCTGGCTCCTTCAAAGGATAACAGCTGTACTCATTACATGTTATTTCAAGGGTCCAAGGTGTGGTCTTAAATTTCTGTCTGTTGGGTCCAAGAATAAGGAAATGAGAAAATGTACTTCTTTGTAGTCTTCAGTATCATTTTTGTAGTGCTTTGAAATACTTATTAAGGAGGAAAGCTCCTAAGGAAACATCTACCTCCAATGCTTGATTTTTAAATTTGTAAAGCTGATCCTACAAAGTGTTTGCAAAACTACACCATTTGCTACTCTGCTTTTATTGGGAATCAACTCTTCTTTTCCAGTCTTTTACTTCTTGTGCACTGCACAAAATCAATTTCAGCTCTCTCATAGCATTCTGGGGCATACCATTGATTTTCTGTGCTTTTAACCATTGTTTCTTTGCATTGAGCTCTGCTTTACTTTGTCTTAGGAAATGTGCAAAAAAACAAAAAAACAATAAACAGACAAACAAACAAACAAACCTTCAAGGAGGGTTGTAATCTCAGTAAATCTCGTTAACTCAGTCCTCCTTTGAAAATCAACTGAACTAAAAGTAGGCTTGGGGATAGTGCATTTTCCCTATGAAACTAAGTTTGATTCCTTCTTCTGCTTGTTCCACCTCCACCCTATGCTTCTTAAACACTACAGCAATTTTCTTGGCTTTCCCATGCAAAATTTTTCAAGTCTGAGGCAAAAGTTCAAACAAGTGCTCATGCTCTGACATTGGGGGCCACCTAATTTTCTGGTCCCATATTTAAACCTAAGATAGAGACATTTCAAGAATTCTCTTGTGCAGAACTCTAGACGCATAGACCTTTATTCCTTTCCTGAAGCTATATCCTTTCATGCCCCATCCCATACTTTCAACAGAGCCTCTTCTCCAACACTATGTCTCTCATCACTGGGCTATATCTTTCCTCTCCTGCTGCTAGGGAAGGCAATCCTTTATAGGGAACTATTTGGCACCGAGCACCTTTTTGCACTATGTGTAACACCAATCCCTAAAGTCTGGTCTTTTAATCTCCTAGGTAGACATTTTCTTTCACAGAGCAAAGATTCATCTTAAATTGCTAACTGCCAAGCAAATGCTATCCACAAGTACATTATCTGCCAAATATACCAAGAAATTAGAAGAAAGCACAAGAAATAGTGGACCATATCTCTTGGAAAAATGTGTGTGTGCTTCTGTTACAGGAAAAGGGGGTAAGCCTGTAACTTTGTGTTTCAATTTTTCTGCATTTCTTTACAGAACTCCCTTTAAGAGCCAGTAATGACTATACTTATGCAAAATGCCTCTTAAATTGAATCAATTGTTTTTTATCTTTAGTTACTAAATAAAGATTAAGAGAATATATCTAAGTGAGACTAATCCAAAGATTAAGTAATTTGGCCTAATTTCCCTCAAGTAAAGTTTCAAATATAATTTATCACATCTGTAATGCTGAGAATACTGAGTGGTGGTGGATTGAGGAATACAAATCTAATTTGGATCCAAGACTGGTTCCTAATATTCATTCATACATAAATAAATTCATTGTGATTTCTTATAAGAAGCTGTTCAACCTGGCATTATCTACTGAAAACTGGTTCTGGATTTACTTTGGGATATTTCTGGATAGTCTTCCCATTTACTGGATTACTTTTGAGAACTTTCTGTTTCAGAGCTACCACTGTGTTAATATCCTTAAGATAAAGTCCACTAACATAATACACATAAAGCACAGCTATTTTACTTACCAGAATCAACGTACTCATAAACTAAGAAGGCAAGCTCCACAATATTAGTAGGAGACTGTGTAAATTGCATGTTTAAAGTAAGTATGCTTTAGCCAAAGCCATTCTGAAGACAAATGCATTTTCCTATGCATATTTTTATGTAAGTCATATATAAATACATATAATGTGCTCAATCAGATCCCTTAATGAAACTAAATATTGCTTCAGCAATCTTCATAGTATGCTTTACGTTAGTTTAGGTCAAGGGTGTCATCAAATGAATTTGTCTCAAATTTAAAAAGAAAATTCTAGAATTTTCTGAATTTGAGAATCACAATTAAGTGATCATGAACATTGAAAGAAACCACTATCCTTATTCTGCTAGGTATGGAAACAATATAACTGAGTCTAAGCTTCACTTCCTGTAGACTATTCCCAGAAACAAAAGAAGCCAAGACTGAAATACTATCTTCAAAATAACAAATATCACCATGAGAGTATTTTCTTCAGGCCCTGACTCTTGTCTGGAATCTACTGTGGAACTTTTACAGTGTCAAAGCATCACTGCATTTCACTTAGTTGCTGGTCAGCTAAATTCTCACTCCTACTACATTTATTTTCATATGTAGTTAATTTCTTTTCAAAATGTATACTAAAGTGACTGTGAATGAATCCAGCCAATGCAATACTTGATTCTACGTAGAAGATGAAAGATTAATGCATAATTTATATATCTCCATTTACCAAGACTACATTAAAACTATTTCCCACACACCATTTATTCTCATATTTACATAAACTACATTTCTAAAAATGCTAGTGGTTCCAACGTGTGATAGTAAGATCTCTAACATTTAATTCATGAAAGTAACTGCTCCATACTCTGTACTCTACAACTGAAATCCTAATTGAATATCACTTCTCAAAGGACACAGATTGGTAACAACATCAAAGTTAACTGTTCTATTTTTCATAGATCAGTTTTGCTACTGTAGTCATCAGTGAGTCAGCCTTACTCAATGAAGCAAGGCCTCATTTTAGTTCCAGTCTCATTCATTTTTTACTTCATGATTGTTGCACAGAGTAGAGGGGAAAAGACTCGGAAGAAAGAGCTGAGTAGATCACAGGAAAGGAAATTTGGGAGGCATCAAAATGACTTCTTTAGACAGGGTTATCTCTGGTCTAAGGATCTTGACAGGGCTTAGAGAAATTAAATAATTCAAAAGATGAACCATCTACTGCATACTGTATTCTAGACATGAATATATTTATGATTATATTGAGTAAACATTTTCAGAAATATTTGGAATCAATTTGTGACCCTATAATTAATGAGTAGAGGCATGAAAAGCAGAGGCTGGGAACAGTGTTGAAGAAACTAAGACTATTCAATGGAAAGAATTGGGGGCAGAAAGTGGGTAGCATAGAATGAATGACAACATTTAACAATCCAAAAGTCTGTCCATTGAGAAAGGGGATGACATAAAGAATGCTCTCAAAGATAACATGGGGATAGACATCCAGGCATCTAGTGGAGGATACTTCACTTTGATATTTTTTAAATGTTATTTTTTCCAAATGTTGAAGTGAAATATTCTCTGCAAGTCAGTGACCTGATAGCAAAATGGCAATGAAAACTGTGATAGTAAGATTGCAGCCGGTATGGGTATGGAGTGGGCTTGGATACTGTTGGTTCTAATCCTCTAGGAACTAAAGTGTGCACGTCTAAGATAATATCTCAACTGCAATTCATCAGTCACATGACTCTTGTCAAACTGGAGTACTAAAAAATGGATTCTTGAAAACTTGGTTTTTTAAAATTAGTTTATTCGCTTTACATCCCAATATCAGGCTCCTCCTCTCAGTCCCCCCATTACAAGTCCCTCCTCCAGTCTTGCTTCTTCTCCTCTGAGAAGGGGGAACCCACCTGGGTATCCTCCCACCCTGGCACATCAAGTCATTGCAGTATTAGGCACATCATCTCCCACTGAGGACAGACAAGGCAGCCCAGTTAAGGGAACGGGATCTGCAGGTAAGCAACAGCTTTAGGATAGCCCACTGTTACAGTTGTTCAAGACCCAGATGAAAATCAAGCTGCACATCTGCTACATATGAGCAGAGGGCCTAGGTCCAGCCCATGTATGTTCTTTGGTTGGTGGTTGAGACTCTGAGAGCTTTGAGCCCCCACGGTCTATGTTAGTTGACTTTGTTGGTCTTCCTGTGGAGTTCCTATCCTGGAAGAGCTGTTTGATGGTTTAGGCTTTTCATTATTTCAAGTTAACAGGTTTCAGAAAGCCAAACATTTGTATGAATGCTCTTCAAGTCTGCTTCTAATTCAACTGCAAGTTCCTTTCATAAGGAGTAAAGAAAAATTATGAACTGATTAATTTGTTTAATCAAAGTATATGGGCATCAAAAAGAAAATTCTGAATTCTTGAATAGGTAATATTTTTGGAGTGGGAAATGTAAGTAGGAAATTTTGACAAGAAAGTCCTGAAAAATACTGATATTAGCAACAATTGCAAAGACCCAGAGCTTGCCAAAGGCACGCAACATTACATATATTTCAGGATAGACTAACATTAATTTTTTTTCTTTTAGTTGAGACTTGTGCAAATTTTACCATCCTACTTTCCTAATTTTAGAAGGATCACATGTCTGTCTATCAGCCAAATTAGAAGAATTTTATATTTGAGTTCATAATTAGGTTGTGAAGAGATCTCTACTTGATCTTACCCCTCTTCTAAAAGTTTACTTTATAAATTTTCA